ATTTCAGCAGTTGACAGACTTGGTTAGGTTCCCCGTTGGTACCGTGTGGGAGCTCGACGAAGATTTCCACGTCGACAGGTGCGTAGAGGAACGCGTTGGCGACATCGATTTGCCGTAGCTTCCTTTTCTTCATGGCGGCGATCGCGAGGAGGATTCGAAGTGAGGTATGTCGGCTAACCGGGGCGAATGTCTCGGTGAAGTCCCGTCCGTGCTCCTGATCGAATCCACGCACAACCCAGCGTGCTTTGAACTTCTCAATTGTGCCGTCTGCTTTTGTTTTAACGCGGAAGACCCATTTCCCGGTGAGAATGGTCTTGTTCCTTGCCACGCTGATGGGGACAACTTTCCAGGTGTTCCGTTCCTCCAGCGCCTTTAACTCTCTGTCCATGGCTTCACGCCATTTTTCCCTGTGTTCCCCCCCCAGAGCCTGCTGAACCGTCGCAGGCTCCTTAGGAAGAGTGTTGCCGTGGACTGCGGTGACGAGTCCGAGAATCTGCAGTCCAGTCTGTGAGTAGCGGGGAAGAGTTGCATCCTCGGGATAAGCTGCTTCATCTCCCGCTTCTGGATCAGGTATGAAATTCGGTCCTACTCGTTCTGCTTCATTGGTGTTGACTGTCGCAGGTGTTACGTAACCGTTGTCGGCGAAGTAGTAGAAGGTTTCGGCGTTAACACTTTCGCGAGGGTTATCTTCGTCCATGGGGACGTCGACGGAGCAGAACGGAAGGGGTCCAGCTTCTTCTGATGCGTTGGCCACATTCTGCTCGTCCCAGTCAGCTTCGGGTGCTGCCGAGGCGAAGGCTCGGTCACCACGAAAACCACCTGTGGGATCTTGGTCCTCTTGCAGGTTGGCAAGGTATGTCTGGAGCGTGAGTCGTTCGTAGAAAATGACGTCGCGTGCTGCTACTGTTTCCTTGGAGTGGACGTCAAAGATTTTCCACGCGTTGTAGTTCTTTTCGATGCCGAGGTGTAGTCCCCACTGTGCGCGTTGTGAAAATCGGCCCGCTCGTGCTGCTGGGGGTTGGTACTGTACCATGCATCCGAACACTCGTAACATTTTTGTGCTGCCCTGTTTTCCTGTCCACAGCAGATGCGGTGATGCGTTGTTCGGTAGTGATGAAGATGAGAGCAAGTTGTGCAGCATGACAGCGTGGTCCATCGCGTCAGGCCACTGGTGGTTGGGTAGCCGCATGCCACGCAACAGTTTGCGCATGCTGTTCTGCAGAGTCCTGTTCATTCTTTCTGCTACACCTTGCTGCTGATGGGCGTAGGGAAGAGAGAGGAGCTGCTTGATTCCCCTTTCCGCCAGGTACTGCTTGAATCGCTGAGAGGTGTATTCTCCTCCTCCGTCAGACTGGAAGCTTTTCAGCTTTACGCCCGACTCTCTTTCTGCTACTGGTAGCCAAGCAGCGAATGCTTCGAGGACCATTTCGCGGCTGGGTAGGTTTAGATGCCAGACGTAACGGGTGGCGGCGTCGATGAAGGTGATTGTGTAGTTGTATATTACTTGTCCTGGTTCCCGATTGTACAGGATGTCGCTATACACCTTTTCGAGTGGTGCGTACGCGGGTGTGCTCGGGTTGTGATGAGGAGTGAACGGCCGATGTGGTAAGTCGGCTTCGGGGCAGGTAAGACATGTTCCTCGTGCCCGTTGAAGTTCTCTGCCGTCGAGTAGTAGTAACGAGTCCTTGTCAAGGACTCCTGCTCTTATTGTGTTGTTTAACACTGTGTTGCTTGGGTGTCCCATGCGTGCATGCCAGATGTCTTCGGAGGCGCGGTGTCCGGGTGAGCGTCGATACGCGTCGGAGTTGGAGTAGAAGCTGGCGGTGAAGTTTGCGCTTCTATGGACTTCCCGTTGAGCTGGATTCAGCTGCTGTGCGGGTGTTGGTGGTGCTTCGTCAACGAGGAGTGGTGTCGTTGTTGCTGCTACTGTTGTTGTTCCTGCTACTGCCGATGATGTCTCTGCTGCTGCCGATGATGTCTCTGCTGCTGCCGATGTTGTCTCTGCTGCTGCCGATGTTGTCTCTGCTGCTGCCGATGTTGTCTCTGCTGCTGCCGATGTTGTCTCTGCTGCTGCCGATGTTGTCTCTGCTGCTGCCGATGTTGTCTCTGTTGCTGCCGATGTTGTCTCTGCTGCTGCCGAATGTTGTATTGTTACTAACGCACGTGTTCGTTCTGCTTCAGGAATGGTATGTGAATACCAAAAGCCTTCCGGACTGAAGTCGGGGTCGAGATCCGGCGGGTGCATCCAAGATGTGAAGGTGATGATCCCGTCACTGTCTGCGGTGCCCAGGTCTGGGACGAAATCGAGAACGAAGACATTGTTCTTCAGGACCGCCTTTCCGATGTAGAGGCCGCCCTTCCCGTGGTACAGCTTGAACTCCTGGGTGGTACTGTCGGCTTCCAGATGTATGCCTTTCGCCATCAACTGACTGACGCTCAGTAAGTTGTAGCCAAGTCCTTCTGCTATTAGGACTTTGGACATTTGCAGTATGACATTCGTCTCTCGTGACTGAAGTTGCACTACTCCTTGTCGTCGTGTGCGCAGGTTCTGATTATTGGCGACAGTGTTGACGACTTCTTGTTGAAGTTGGTGCTCGCGTTGAACGAAACGTCTTGAAGAGCACATATGTTGTCCGCAGCAACTGTCCAAGAACCATGTATCCTTCCCGGACGGCTCGCTTTGAGCGATGGCGGCGTACGTCGGGTTCGGTTGAAGTGACTCGCGGCGAGGCGTGCTGTTGTCGAGTTGTTCTTCTGGTGAGTAATATGGTGGTGACTCAGTTACGCAGGAGTCACTCAGCCTTGCCATGCAGCTGACGATGTTTCTTGTTCCTTTCGCAGGTTGTCCCGTCGATGTTGTTGAGACTTGTACTGAAGTTGTCGGATTTGCTTGTGTTGAGGCGACTTGACTGCTTGAAGGGCGAAGTTGGCGTTGCGGCGACGTTGACTGTTGTCGATTCGGGCAGTGCGTACGGGGATGCCCTGAAGTCTTGCAGAGGTGGCAGAACGGAGGTACGATTTTCGGTCGATTGTTGTTGTTGTTGTGGCGCCGTTGAGTGTGAAACGCGAATTCGGGCACTGATACCTTTCTCTTGTGTTGTTCTTCTTGCAGGTCCATGTCTTGCTGCTCGGCGTGGATTTCGGCGCAAAGTGCTGCTTCAGAAATTTTCCCGTGGGCTCGTAGTATGGCGCGAGTGGAGCGCCAGTGAGGACCAAGACCGCCGATGACAACCGTGACGAAGGCGTCCTCTGAAATCGATCCTCCACATCGAAGAAGCTTGTCGCGCAGCTCGCGGCAGCGACTGATATACGCCATTCCCTTCTCGCCTGGTTTCATTTCGATTGTTGTCAGCTGCGCCATTAACCGACTTTGGTTTACGCTGTCTGTTGCTTGATACAGGCTCTTCAAGTGATTGTACGCGAGCTCCGCGGAGTTGCCGTAGCCTCGGTAAGACCGTGTGTTTTGTTGTTGAGTTGGAGTGATGTTCCTCAGTAGTATCGTGTACGCCATCATCGATTGATAGGTGTACTGCTGCTTCTCATACTGTGTGCCGTTTGTTGGGTATGGCAGGGACCCGTCGAAGAAGCCAAGGATTTGCGCTCCTTCCATCATCAGCTCGAATTCGAACGACCAGGTGAAGAAATCCTTCCCGTCGAAGGGTTTTGTCGTTTGCAGTTTTAGAACGTGCGCGAACTGCGACTGAACTTGTAGTGCGTCCAGCATTCTCTCTTGTCCCGGTGCAGGTTGTGGTTGTGGCATGAAGCTGACGGAGCCGCGCTGGGGCTCGTACGGAGCGAAGGTAGGTTGCTGTTGTTGATTCCCGCGTGCGTAGGATGAGCCATCGAGACTCATGGGCGTCACGTTGTTGTTGTTGTTGCTGTTGTTTGATTGCGCAGGTGCTCCTTGCTGATGCTGCTCGTAGAAGGACATGAAGGAGAAGAACTTCTCCATCATGCTTGGATCGAAGCCCGCGCCTTGGTTTGCGGGTGTTTCAGTAGACCCAGCTGCCGGTCTCGTTGTTGTGCCTTCCTCTGTCTGTAGGCCAGAGGCAGGAGGTGGAGTAGGAGTAGTACCAGGAGAGCCGTTGGAGGAGCTCCTCTCCTTTCTGGTAGACATGTCTCTTGGTGTATTAGGTGTTAAGGAGAAATAATTTTAACCCTAACCAGCTCTCATACCATGTTGGGCTGAGTGCCCCTTAGGATCTTTGGTAGGGTTAAACTCTGGGTAGAGTGATGTAGTAGCGGAAGCGTTTAAATGAAGTCCTTGAACCACCTTGCGCTGGTATGTGAGGGCAAAGTAAGTTGATTAAAACAAGCAAGTACAAAGGTTTATATAAGAGTACAAAGAATACGAAGAGATATAATTAAACTGTTTTACTGTTGCGGTTCGATACAGTGCGACTCGGGCAACTGCTCAATGTCGAGTCAGTTGTGTGTCCTTGCTGTCGCGCTGCATTTGTCAAGTCAAAGGTCGCTGACCTTTGACTTTCGCGTAACCTCCAGCGGTTACTTCAACCTCCGAGGGTTGACTCGCTGGTGCCTCGATATGCTCTGCTTCGCTTGTGCCTTGGTGTTTCGACACGACAGAGGCGCTTAAGATTGTTTGTTCCCAACACTGTCTAGGCCCATCAGCCACAGTTACGACTGTCAATGTTTGTATGCGCTTTATAGTGTACCGTATATGACATAAAAAAAAAAGGTGAACCATCGGTGATATTGTGCCCCTTCACTCGTTTGGTCAGTATTCGCTGGTGGAGATTCACGCAAATGGTCAGAACATAAAACCCTTGGCCCTCTGGCTGCTATAAAGACTACTTCTCTGGTCCATGTCTAGAGCGTTGATTTCATGCAAAAGCTGTTGATTTCTGTGCCAATTTGGCAGCAGCCAGGGGGCTTATGTGGACGGCAGCCTGGGGTTAGGTTGGAGGGGGGGGGGGAGGGGGGACTTCAAAAGGTTAGCAGGCAAAGGGGAGGCAACCAGGTCAGCAGCCAAGGCAAAAATGGAGCCTTTCAAAGGCAGTGGGGGAAAACAAGGGGAAGCAGGGGGGAAAAGGAGGGAATGCAGGGGGGGGAAGCAGGGGAAAGAGAGGGGAAAAGGGAAGGAGGGGGGAAACCGAGGGGAAGCAGAGCGGAAAGGAGGGGAAGCAAGAGGGGAAGGGAGGGGAAGCGGGGGGGGGAGAGGAGGGGATGCAGGGGGGGGAAAGGAGGGGAAGCAGGGGGGGAAAGGAGGGGACGAAGTGGGGGAAAGGAGAGGGGCTACTGCTGGCAATCCGTGGGTAAATAGCGGGCAAGAAGAGTGGTAACTGGGGGAAAGGAGGGGTGCTGCTGTGGAAATTGCTGGGGGGAACTGTGGGTATGCAGGGAGGAATATGCAGAAGACGAAGGGCAAGAAAGCGGGTGCGTCGAGTGTCAGAACCCGGGCGCGAAAAGTGCGTGATTCCGCCCCCTTCGAGTTCGTGAATGCGAGCCCGTTCGCCCCTCCCGCACCTGTCCGCTACGCTCGCCGCGGGCCCTCCCCTTGCGCCCGCCGTGCCTGCGCTTTGCGCCTGCTGCGGGCCTGCACTCGCTGCCCGCCGTCTCTCCCCGTGACACTCGCCGCGCCTGCCCGTGCCACCTGTCGCGCCTGCCCTTAGAGCCTGCCGCGGCCCTGCCCTACGTGCCCGCCGTGCCTGCCCTAAGAGCCTGCCACGGCCCTGCCCTACCTGCCCGCCGAGCCTGCCCTTAGAGCCCACCGCGAGCCTGCGTTTTTGCGCTTGCAGCGTCTTCCCTTTGCGCTCGTTGCGAGCCTGCCCTTAGAGCTTGCCGTGCCAGCCCTTCGCGTCCCTCTAGCGTTCGCCACGTGCCTACTTTTGCCCGCGCGCCTCTCGCCCAACCGCTTATCGCCCTGCCCTCGCCTGCCACTGCGCCCTGCCATCCTTGTAGTTTCTGCTTTCGCTATGGCGACCCCTAGGGTCCTTCGCTTTGACGTCGGGGGTAGGCCCCTCGAGTTCTCTGGCTCCAACGAGCGCAGCGTCTCCTAGAGAGTCAGGTGCATGCAAACGAGTCTCTATGGGCGCACGCATCCGGTGACCTCCCCGCGCCCCCCGATCCTGATACCGTAGGACTTGACGCTACCCCTGAGGACAGAGAGCGTGTTGCGCGTCAGCGTGCCGACCTGATTGCCTGGCGATCGCGCGACGTTGCGGCTTGCATCGCCCTCAGCAGCCTCCTCCCTGAGTCCGAGGAGACCCATTTCTCACAGGTTCGCATGGCTAGTGAGTTCCTGACTGCGATCAAGGCCCGCTATGCTACTCCTTCCACTGTCTTCTGGTCGCCTCTTCCTCCCCTTCCTGTTTCCTGACCTCGCCTCGCTTGAGCGCTCTGCTGACCTGATCGCTCACTTGCGCTCATTAGACTCTAGCTTTCGCGCTACGTGCACTAGCGCATAGCTTGCACTGCTCCCTCCTCCCATGCCGATCACTATCTATTTCATCGCCACTAGCCTCCCTGACCGCCTTGCTTCGGTTCGTGACGCACTTCTTCTGAAGCATCCTAGCGAGCTCACTATCGGCGTCCTTGAGTCTGCTCTCAAGGACGTCGAGAGCAACCTCCGCTCGGTAGCCTCTGCCTCTGGTGATGTGCCCCCTCTACTGTTTCACGGGGGCACTGTCCCTCAGCTGCCCACCTTTACTGCCTCCCTCGCCACTGCCGCTACTGACGTGGCCGCAGCTGCTGTTATGACTTCTTCGCAGTCTCGGGGTAGGAGTGGCAGGAGGGGTAGTCAGGGTGCAGGCGGAGGCGGTGGGGGTGACGTGGCGAGCGATGGCGGTGGGAGTGCAAGGGCTGGAGGAGCGCCTCGTGCAGCGGCTGGTGACTCCCCTTCTGCAGCTGGTGGAGGTGACGCCCGGGTTTGTCAGCCACCTACTTGTGTGCCAGCCGCAGGGGGTGGAGCAGTGGCGTGGTACCTGACTCAGCGACAGCAGCAGCAGCCCCTCCCCTCGCAGAACCCACAGCGACAGCAGGGGCAGCAGCAGGTTTCGGGCCAGGGGTCAGGACAGCGTCAGGTGCAGCGCGGTGTCGTCCACCCTCCCTGCACCTATCACGTTCTGACAGGTGCCCGCCGCGGCCAGCTTTGTGGCTGCAGCCACCCACCGGGTCAGTGCTTTGCCCAGCTTACTAACACGGTTCGATTGGCCTACGGCGTTGACGGCCCTGCCCCTGACTGGTTTCCCCTTGTTCAGACGTACGGCCCCACTCTGTGGGGCATGTTGGCTTCTCAGCTGGTTGATCTGTTAGGACTTCCTCATGCTATGTATGCTGTTGTTGACTCTAGTTCTTCTGACTCTGTTTACACGAGTGTTGTTAGCTTTGGTGCTAGTCTTGCTGAGGTGCCTATTGCTAGTGTAGGTACTTGTGTAGACACTAGTCCAGGAGCTGCTCTGGAGGACGCTTCGCTGACTTTCACTCTGGACTCCGGAGCTTCGCACTGTTTCTTCCGCGACCGCATGACACTTACCCCGCTTCCTGCGCCGGTCTCTGTATCACTTGCTGATCCCACTTTGGGACCAGTAAGTGTTCGCTACACTACTATGCTTCCGTGCCCGGCTGTTCCCTCCGATTCTCTGACCGGCTTCCACGTCCCCTCGTTCTCGAGGAACTTGGTGGGCGTGAGGCCGCTCGTGAGTCAGCACGTGGGTGTGTGGATTGAGCCTTCTGGCGAGATTGCGGTTTGTGTCGATGGGGACACGTACGCACCTCTCGCCACCTTTACCGCTGAGCCGGGCTCTGGTCTCTACACTCTTCATACTGGCCTCCGAGAGCAGCAGCAGTAGCTACTGCCTCTGACCCCTGTCACTGCCCCCCGTCAGGTTGCCGTGTCTCACCAGGTTGCCGCGTCTCCCCAGGTAGCTGTGTCTGGTCAGGTTCCGGTGTCTGGTCCAGTTGCTGCGTCTTGCTCCTGCCCACCCCACCGTTCTGTGGCACCACCGGTTGGGGCACTCGTCCATTCCTTGCCTGCGCACTATGTCTAGTAAGCGTCTTGTCTTAGACCTCCCGCAAGTCTTGCCGTCGCTGCCGCCTTCGCTTGCACCACCTTGCGGTCCCTGCATGGAGGGTTGGCTGCGCGCCACCCCTCACTCCTCCTCCCTTCGTCTGGCCACCGAGCCCTTCAAGTCTCTCCACTTAGACGTCAGGGGCCCCACCCCTCGCCCTGGCCATGAGCAAGAGAGTTTCTTTCTGGTGGTCGTTGACGACTACTCTTGCTACACCATAGTGTTTCCTCTACGCTGATCTGGTAGTTACTGACCACTGCGGACACTCGTGGTCGTCGTGTCAGCTATCTTCACTCCGACCGCGGGGGTGAGTTTTGCACCGGCATTCTCGCTGGATTCTGTCACGAGCAGGGCATCCGCCAGTCCTGGACGCTTCTAGAGTCCCCACAGCAGAATGGGGTTGCTAAGCGCCGCATAGGCTTGGTCACGGAGATTGCACGCACCTCCATGATCCACGCCCGTGCGCCCCATTTTCTGTGGCCCTACGCGGTTCGGTACGCCGCTCACCGGCTGAACCTCTGGTCACGTGTCTCTCGGCCAGAGGCTTCACCGTCCAGTCTTTGGAGCGGGTCCCATGGTGTTGCGTCGCGTTTTCGTGTCTGGGGCTGCTTGGCGCTTGTTCGCGACACCTCCGCGGATAAGCTCTCCCCTCGCGCCCTTCCCTGTGTCTTCCTTGGTTTCGCGCCCTTCCGTGGACTCCTCTGACTTCACCTTTACCACCCTCCCCTTCACCGTTTCTTTGACTCCCGCGACGTTCGTTTTGTCGAGTCAGTCCCCTACTTCACCCGGTACCCCTATCGAGGTCTCCCTGTTCCTCCTCCCCCTCTCTTCCTGACTTCAACTCCCCCTCCTGCTCCCCCAGTACAGCCTCCCCCCCTGGTCCCGCCCCAACAGGTGTGTCCCACGCTACCCCTCCCCCCTCGGTAGCCCCTTACGTGCAGCCTTCTTCTCCGCAGTCCTCCTCCCAGCCTACAGCGGACCCTGTGGGAGCCGGTTTTCGTGGCGAGGGCCCTGGAGGTGCTAGCTTTAGAGGTGCTGGAGTTGGAGCAGAGAGCGTACCTGTGCGAGGTCTTGGTTCTGGGGTTGCTAAAGTTGGAGCTCAGCCCGTGCCTGCAGGAGATTCTAGTCTTCGGGGAGCTGATGTTAGTGGAGCTGTCCCTCGGGGTGCTACGACTAGGGGTGCACCCTCTGCTGGACCTGGAGAGCCTGGGACGGGCCGTGTTACTTCTGGTGGTGCTGACTCTGGGGGTGGTGCGACTGGTTCTTTGGAGAGCGGTCCTGGGGCTACCACCGCTTCGGACAATACTCCCCCCCCCCACCCCTACCCGACGCGGCACCAGGCCCGTGTTCGCGGTGCCCGTGAGGAACAGCTGGAGTTGGAGCGAGAGGAGAGAGAGTTGCAGCGGCAGCAGCTAGAGCTACAGCGGCTGGAGGAGCAGCAGCCGCAGCAGCAGCCGGAGCAGCAGCCGGAGCAGCAGTAGCGGCGGCAGCAGCAGCAGCAGCAGTCGGAGCAGGAGCAGCCGTAGCAGCAGTCGCAGGCGCAGCAGCAGCAGCAGCAGCCGCCACCTCCTCCTCCTGTGTCTTCGGACCCTCGGTCTCCCCTCTCCCTCTACTCCCTCCTCCCCCTCTCTCCGCTTCCTCCTCTTGACTCCTCTTGACCTGTCATGGACTACTACCGCATGTACCGTCCTGTTCTCTCTCATGTTCTCGCCTCTCTTGTTAACGACCCACGTCCCTCTCTGTCCTCTGTCTCCGCTCTTACTACCGCAGTCATTGAGTTTGCCTCTACTCGCTGCCTTGACTACGCCACCAGTCTTGTGGCTGCTCTTCCTACCAGTCCTCTGGCCGTCGGGGGTGAGTCTGCCCTTGGCTGTGACGCCCTAGAGGATAGGCAGTTTGAGCTAGAGTTCCTGGCAGCCGCTTCCCCTTATCTCTGTGCCATGCTGCTCGCTCCTGAGGGAGACCCCGACGCCCTTGACATACCGACTCCTCGCACTTACGCTGAGGCAGTGTCAGGGCCTTGGGCCTCTAAGTGGAGAGCTGCCATGGACTCAGAGATGGCCTCCTACAGATCCACAGGCACCTACGTCGACGAGGTTCCCCCCCCTGGGGCGAACGTAGTCGATGGCATGTGAATCTTCAGGGTGAAGCGGCCACCAGGATCTTCTCCAGTCTTCAAGGCGCGCTATGTGGCCAGAGGTTTCAGTCAGCGCGAGGGAGTTGACTCCTTTCAGACCTTCGCGCCTACCCCGAAGATGACCACTCTTTGGGTGCTACTGCACGTAGCAGCACAGAGAGACTACGAGCTACACTCTCTCGACTTCTCCACTGGCTTCCTTCAGGGTAGCCTACACGAGGAGGTCTAGTTGCATCGTCCCTCTGCCTTTCCCCCCTAGGACCCAGTGGAGGCTGAGGCGACCGGTCTACAGTCTCCGTCAGGCTACTCGTGAGTGGCATGACACCCTTTGTTCTACCCTATCTGACCTCGGTTTTCAGCCCCCTTCTGCCGACCCGTCGCTGTTTGTTCGGCGTGGCTCCACACCGTTCTTTGTACTGGTCTACGTCGACAACCTGGTTTTCACCACTGCTAACAGGGTTTCTTTGGCTGACGTGAAGCGCGAACTGCAGAAGAGACACACGTGCACTGACCTTGGTGAGCTGCGCCACTACCTTGGCCTGCAGATCACTAGGGACA